CTAGAAACAAAAACGGTATCAGTCCCACTTCTGAGCTAAAACATTTTATCTCACACTCACTCAGAAGAGCATCTTATCCCTCCTTCGTGTACCCCTCTTTTCTAATATTTATCCCCCTCTCTTTTATGCCCTTTCCTTCACTCTGGCTCCAGCTGTCTAGGGGTTGTTTCGGCTCTGAAGGGAAGTTTCCTGAACTCACATCCAACATAATCAAATAGAAAATGTCCCTGATAATAATACCCACTGCCTGCATACACTCAGTAATCTTTTCCCTCTGCCCCCGTCTTTAATTGAAACATTAATCAAACAGACTTGCAAGTGTGACAGTGTAAGCCTCGCCATCCGCGGACAATAAAGAGAAGAACCAGGGATACTAGGCAGACAGATCACTGTGATTTACATGCAGGATGATGGTCATGCTTTGTGGGAATATACAGGAAGGAGGATCCACTCCACCTACAGGATTACACTGAACATAACACAGTGCATCCCCACTTTGCTGTATTAGCTCGGCCTAGCATGCTCTGCTGCATCCTTTCAACTCAACTTGATAACAAGCGTATTTGTCTGCTCGCGCCCGTCTCACTCTGCCTCACTGCTTCTCTCATTGTAATTCACTGCTTCTGTTTTGCAGCAGTTTTGACCTGCTCTGCTGCATCCATTCCAGTCTGATGCACGTGCTTCATTTGTCCACTTCTCACTTCTTCACATGATGTGTGTGTGTGTTTTTGTGTGTTTGTGTGTGTGGATCGTATGCTCGGGGTTATTGTTCCAGACAACAGCTTTTAGTGTGATTATTTTGTTTCAACTGGAGGGGCAATTATTGAGATGTTTACTCGAGAGACAGGAGCAATCACTCAACATAAAAGCATCAATAACTTTGCAGATAACGTAGATATGCAGAAGTATAAACAGTTGAGCACGCTTTGGCATGAATCATTAAAGTAATTATGAGAAAGCTTCCATCAGAGACTTTTATTAGTTGCAGTGGTGGAATGTAACAATGCACATTTTTACTAACCGTGTACTGTATGTTATAGTTGTCGCTACAGCCTTTATTTATATCCATTTATGTGACTTTATGTGCACAAAATATGAGTTTTAACAGCGGTTCACACTGTCTATATTTCTAAATAATAGAACCGTAAAATAAGAACTTATCTTAAAAATATATCATTAGAAATTTGTGGAAGTACTCTGCACCTAGATGATAAATGAAGAATATTTTTTGTATTTTTTAACACAAAAGTGCCCCAACTTCATGTAACTCCTTTCTTTTAGTCATCTATGATCATTTCTTTGAGTTATAGATAAATGTTTCATGGACACACACACACAAAAATGATTTGGGACCTAGGACATTGTGACATATGTTTACATATGTTAAATAATGTGTACTTTGAAAGACATTTAACAAATATTAGTTTCTCATTCAAAAGTTCTTTCTGGTGATCTAACATATTGAATGATTATTTCTGATACAACAACAATAACAGATATTCTACATCGAGACATAGGTATAAAACTATTCCTTTATTTATTAAAGATTGTGTGATTGATGACGAGTAGCAGTATTGTATAGTGAGCAGGTAATAATCCAAATTAAAATCTCAGCAGGGATGCTGTATGAATTCTAACAAGCATGACTACCTGATCACTATATTATACCACTTACTAGCTAAAAACAAGTTGACTCAAAGTAAATCATTTTAATGGTTTAATGGCTTAAGTTTTGAAAAATAGGTCATACAGACCTATAGTAAAAGTGCCAATAACAATGGTAAGAGAATAAGTACTTCTTACAGGAACAGAAAGGTAATGATATAAGACTGATCTAAATATCTACGGCAGTTTATAGCTCTCAATTATAGCTGAGCCGAGTAAATTTAAAACTTATGTGATCACTGTAACAGTGAAAATAAAGATGAGGCTGATATTGATAGTCGTTGCTGGTCCACAGCCTTAGGCCGTTTTCTGCAGGAATCCAAAGAAATCCATGAGACAAGAGCTCAGGAGCTCCCAGATAGATCTGTAGTTGGTGACTTTAAAAAAGACATGTAGCTTTAAAGTAAGAGACGTGCAGGCGTGCAGATAGAGGAGAGAGAGGGGCTCATTGTGTTCCCTGGCAGTCTTACCTAGAGTGACATAACTAAAGTTAATCTAAGCCTTTGCCAGACGTAGGAGAGTTTGGTAAATCAGAAGAAGGAGTTTAAGTCATGGGGAGCCGGTGTTGAGATGCGACTACAGGAGTGGTGCGCCTCTTCTCTTACTGTTTTCCATCATCAATGCTCAAGCTATACGGCATTTTTGGACCAGCTGAATCATTTTTAAAGACTTACTTGGGCAGCGTAATAAAGGGAATTACCATAATCCAACCCAGAGGTAACAATTGGATGGACCATTTTTTTGTATTATGTATACAAAGGATGTGTCTCACATCTGAGCCCAGTAGCTGTTATTATTTCACGCTCAAGATCAATTTACATGCTGATGGAAACAAATGTTTTCGCTACGGTATCAGCAGGCGAGCGGGTGAAATATGGGCTTGTTTCCGCCGCTTAATTTGATGTAACATATGTGATCAGGTTGTCTCTCACATCCCTTTTATTGATGATAACCAATGATATGGAGTTTTCAACCCAATAAAATCAAGTATTTTACACAGCCAGGTAAAAACATTTTATACAATCTATCTTGATATGGTTAATAGTTCCCCTTGGTTTGAGTTCCCAGCATCTGAATTGATCAGATGATAAGAAAGAAGGCATATTTTCTTTAAACAGCATACATGCTCACACAGTATATAAAGAAAAAATGCAAATAAAAGTCCCCAAAGAGAAACTTGTATAAGAAGACCAACTTTGTGCCTCACAGGACCACTATCTTCACTTTAATCTAAATGCTGCTCTGCAAATAAATGAACACCAAGATAATCTGATATTTCAAGGACAAATTGGAGGAATAAATCCTTTCAGCCCTACAATCCTGGACGCTTCCTGTCACACAAAAGCTGCTGCAGCTTGTCCAACATGAGTGACGCAAACCCAGCAAGTGGAGGATTTCCAGAACAATGTCTGACCTGCTTTAGACTCGAAGTGACTGGACCAATTTCAGCGCTGGTTTATAAAACCGTGTGAAGGAAGTCCAGGCCTATTTTTGATGCTATGACTGTAGTACATTGCATATTGGAAATGAAGTGTTTCGTTAAAAAAGGGGAAATAAATCTAGCGATTTAACCGAAATCAAGAAGCAATCAGATCATTAACCTTCTTTGATCAAACAGTTTGAACAGAATGGATGTAATGAGGCCATTTTGACTCACTTATCTGTGATTAAATAAAAGAATTGTCCTGATTACTGTAAATCTATTTTGTGCCTATTTCCTGTGTTTAATGAGAAACAGTTTGAGGCAAATAAAAACGTTTAATGCTTGTGTACCGAAGGACAATGGAAATTTTAATCGCTGATGCTGCAATTCGAGGACTAAGTTGTTCATAATATAGCTTGTTACAGACTGAAGTGCATTCTTTCACGACTCAGACTGACCTACAGGGTCATGCGGCAGTGAGGGTTCATTGTTGAACCTGATGAAATATGGACCTGTTGCCACCACCTGGAGCAGAGCTGCAGTGCAAGATCACCTGCAGGGAACACCTGGGTGAAAACAGGTGCGTTCAAGAACTCTAATGAGCACACTCAAACACACTCATATGGGTATCAGGTTAGATGGAACTGATGCTGGAAATCTGACTCTGCTTATTATAGGGAAAAATCTGCCTTTAAGTGAAGAGCGATCACCACTTACATCCATCTGCGGTGTGTTTAGTGACTATAAAGTGTGGCATTTTGATGATGTAATCTCACATGAAACATGACAGACTTCATTGCATGTGGCTGGAAAATGGTGGTAAATGTACAGTGTGAGTCCCACTGAGTGCCACAAGCAATGATTCATGTGGTTTTTGGTAATGATGATCACAACAGGAAGATTAGTCAGAAAAAGTCATGGCAAAGGGCAAATAATCTTTTTATAGCAACATTGACAAGATTGATCTAATCCTTAATGCCTGATGGGAGGGGGTCGGCCTAGTAGCTAAAGAGACAACCCTGTTTTTGTTTTTTTTTTCTTCACATTAAGTTTTTACACAAAATGATACATTTTTCTGTCAAAAATCAATGAGATTTTTTCAGAGGACACTGTTAAAATGTGTAGATGACAAGCTTAGCAAAGACTGTTTTGTCTGCAAATTTGACACAAATAGAAAGTTACTCACAGGAGCTTTAAAGTAGTTTGTTACAAGCAGGAGTCTGTCAATTAAATTATTTCATAGGAAATATAATCCAAGTATCATCTCAAACATCTAAAATTTATAAACTATATATTAAGGTGACCATATTCTGAATCCCCAAAAAGAGGACACGGCTACACAGGGGCGGAGTCACGAAGTCGCACTTTGTTAATTTTGAGAGTTTTTCGGGTTGGATCAAGTGTCTTTTACGCGCTTCTAACTCAGTAAGTCCACATGACACAAAATCAAAACCTACGTACAAACATTTAAAGGGCATTTGAATGATTTTATAAACTTCCCTGGACAAAGCCAAACCCGGACAGCCCCCAAAAAAGAGGACATATCCGGGTAAAAAAGTATGGTCGTATGGTCACCCTACCACGTAAATATGATAAACTACCTGTAAATTATCACTTTAATCATGTTTACAAGTTACATAAACTTTAAAAAGTTAAGACACAAGTTTGTTTCAACCTTGTCAGTTATACATCTAAATATGAGGACACCAAGACTTATCAGAATTGTGTTATTACTAGTTTTCCTGCACAATACAAAATTTGAAGTATTTTGTGTGCTTCACCAGATTTTAAAGGTATGAACAATTATTTTAATTAATTCAGATGTGTTTGTTAGTATAAACTGCGATGCAACATTAAGTTCCCAGTTAGTCGAGGTCATGGGATGTATATTTAGCATGGTAAGTGACTTTGTGGAAAGTCTTGAGATAGAAGTGAGAATATCACTTCCTGTTTGACAAATCAAATTTGAAGAGATCATCACAAGTACACTGAGATGCAGCCACATTCAACTTGGATATAACAGAAATAAGGTCAGTAATGCAGGGCTAAAGTTTGCTCCTCACCCTCAACTCTTTGTATTTGAAAACTGACATGAACCTGGTTACTGTGGTTTGTGGTTTATCTGGTTTGTTTTGTGTTTTGTTCTGTTTATCTTCACAGGGAACCGCAGCAGCAGCAGGCCTTCAGGAACCATTTCCAAAAACAGCTGATTCTTGGTGAAATGTTAATTTATATCCAAGTTAATGCTCACTTTTTCATCACCACAGTCATTACTTTCTGCTATGGGCAGCCTTTTACACTGCAGGCTTGGACTGTATAAAACTAAGTATCACTGACATCACCAAATGGATTCTGGGAGTCAAACAATCGCAGCCAATATATAAGAAATGCTGACTACTGATGGGACCTCCTCAACATTTGGACTCAAGTAGACACTGTTTTTTGCTCCTCCACATTTTTACCTCCTCCAGATGATTTGGATCAAAGTTTTGAAGTTGCCCAACATGGAAATATTCTGACAACCTGCCAAAGAATTGTGCATAAATAAAGTACTTGAGCAAAAA